TATATATAATTACGACATTAGTTAACCGTCTAACGCGTGCACTTTATAATAATGGCACTATATAGATAATAGCACTGTTTTGCGAATTTCTTCAAATTGTTCTCAATATGCCAAATAAAATTAAATCAAACAAAAGATATATAAAAGAATAAGTATTGATGTAAATCTTTATCTGATGCAATTTGAGAGTCTTAAAGAATTTTTTTTATATGAATTGATATACATATTATCCCGAATATATTAATGTGTTCCATAAATTTTGTATCATATTAATGATATTACTTGTAATTCTTAGTGTCATTTAAGATATCTTTGAAAATTATTGAACCAATATACCAATAAAAATCACAATATGTATTCAATATAATATTAATTAATATTTTAATTAAATATTTATAAAAAGTATACCAAGACTCTAAAGCGATTCAAAAAGCGACACAGCGATATAGATATAATTTCAACTCTTCTGATATCAATATTATTATTATTATTATTATATCTTTATAGATATATCTTTTCAATATTTAATTCATAAATCTAATGATATACAAAGAAGCAAAATGATAATGCTTAACATTAGAAAATATATAATACAAATAAATAATAAGACTCACCAGTGTCGATCTCTTGTGTCTGTGCTGGATCTGGCAAAGGGAAATCATGTAGTCGCAAATAAACTTCCATTGCACATTTTGCTGCTTTAAAGTAAAACGGATGAGCTCGAAGAACATCTTCTAGCCTCAGAAGACCCACGTAAGATCGTAATGTCATTTTCCGCATACAATATGTATGAAAGTCGAATTGGTCCTCTATGATTTCCGAAAAATGCTGTAAATAATAGCAATATTGTAATAGCATATTACATAATATATGTACATCACAAATGTATAATATACAACTTACCCTATCAACTTCATGACATTTTTTCAATGCCTCTCCATATTTTCCAAGGCGTTTGTACGCATTTGCTGCTTCCGTTTGAATCCACATGCATTGCATCTCATTTAAGTTTTCCATAGCTAAAACCCCTTCTCTCGTAAATTTCCCACACGTCTCTTCTGCTTCTTTAATAAGATTCGCACGAAGCATGTACTTGGCACATTTAGAGTTAATATATCGATCTGCTGTATCTAACCCTTGCGCTTCGTCAAGCCACTTATAAGCTTCTTGAACATTCCCCGCATGCTATCAACAAACATTTTTTTTAGATTAGATATCTCCTATATTGGTCCTTGCAATTAAAATGTGTTATTAAAATAAGTATATAAAATCTTACTTTGTAAATGCGTCCTTTGGTAACAAAAAGTTCTATAAGGGTAGGAGTATGATCGATGGCAGCATCAATTTCAATTAATGCCTTCTCTGTTTGACCGAGATAATCATAATGTTGTGCTAGGTAATAATATGTCCACAATAAAGCAGATGCTGGTTCTCTGGGATTATCTTTCTCTTGATCACTAAAATGACCGTGAAGTTTTAACGCCTCCTTATATTGTAGAAGTAGAGATGATATGATTTCGACCTTTTCTTTATCAGTATATAATAAACGAAGATTCACAAATAATGGTGGCACACCTTTATGAAGCCCTGCAAAAAAATAAATAGATTTAATTATACATCATGTATTATAAAAGTCTCGTTTAAATAAGTAACTATATGTGCAGAAAGAAAATTACCTCTTCGTAAATATCGATCAACTAAAACTTTAAATTCATCTCCTGATGCAAAATTGAGTTGCAAACGGCGCGGTGCTAACGCTCGAGGGAAGAGCTCTTCATATCTTTGGAGCATATGCAATGTTTCACTTGGTGAGGTATGTCTTTCAGCCTCTGCTAGCCTAGTATAATATGTTGTATTTTCGGGGTTAATATCTAATAACTCCTTGTAAACTTGTTCCGCTTCTGCATACTGCTCTAATTGAAGTCTTAATTTACCTGAAAAACAAACCAAAAATTACAAGAAATATATTACAAAATATTTGATTATAGGTAATAAATATTAAGAAAATTGTATAAAAAAACATATTGCAATATACCATAAGTCTCTTTTACAGTGACCTTGTCACAAATTTGATCACAATACTTGTCTAAATGTTTTAACGCTTGTTCACATTCTCCTGATTCCTGGATGACCATATTCTGATACAATAGCAATTCACTATGTTCATAATCATAACAAATCTGCACACATTATAAATATTTCTATTATATCTTTTTTTTACTATATAAAGTTAATCGTTAAATTTATATAAAAATTATTTATATATACATATATATATTGTACATACCATTGGAGAATTTCGAAAAGTGTCTAAAATTTTCAATGCCATTTCATAGTCTTTCAACAAATGATACGAAATAGCAAAACCAATCCAAGAAGCTCGTTGAGTAGGACGTAACATGAACAACTGATATCTAGTGTCCTAGAAGCAAGAAAAAGAATCAGTTAGAACAGACAATTACAATATACAATAAAATAGCCAATAAAATAATGTACTCTTTGAAGTGCTTACTTTATAGCCCTCCAGATCCCGCATTTGAATTTGAAGCAACGATAGATCCCTAAGAATTTGAATATTGTCCTTATCCCATTTGAGCGCATTTCTATAACATTTGATAGCCTCATCGTACTTCTTGTCAGAACGCTGTAGAAGACCATAGACATGCCAGCAAACATGAGACTGTAGGTCATTTCTGAGGCCACGACGTACATGATCATAAGCTTCATCTTTGCGGCCTAAGCAGTTCAGAGTGAGACCTTTCATCGCCAAGGTCTCTCCATGTTCGCTGAACTTGGGATTTGACAGGATTTGCTTTGCAAATTTTAACCCATTTTTGTATTGCTTGTGTTCATAGCATCTCTGTAAAAAAATACGCGTGATGTGAAAATGTATCACAGGGTTAAAAGGGATGTTCGAAGAGTTTTATTTTGTATTTCGTACAAGATCGGTGTACCGATCATTGCGGGTTGTCGCCGAGCAAAACGGCTTTTCATTCGTAACGTCAAGCACGGCGACGCGTTCCGCGATCGCCAGTGAGTTTTTCCCGTTTTTCCCGAAGAGTGCTTTATCATTAGAGCATGATGAGAGTGCACCCTATTAGCCGGAGAGTGGGGTCCAAAACAGAATATTTTGATTGGCCGTTACTCACCAGAATTCGCTTAAACAAGGCATTTTCTTTTGGTGGCAATGGGTTGCTGGAGGGCATTTTTGTATAACTACAAAAATAGGGGGCTTTTTCCACCCGGTAAACTTAATTTTCACCACAAAACCTCGTGGCCACAAACGAAGAAGTCGATCTTTGATCACGTGATCATCTGCGACAATGCTGTTCCGCCGGAAATACTGCCGTCACGGTGCCGCAGATTTCAAATAGTCTTAAGACTATAATGTTCACAATTATCTTTCTATTTCCATTTATATTCGAACCACAATATCGTTTACCAAATATCTCTCTGCATACTATTATATATAATATATATACATATCTAAAAGATTATATTTGCTCGCGCAAACATATATCATAGAAGAAGCATTTGGAAATCTTATCCGTGAGATAGAGTGGCATTCGGTTAACCAATCAAGACACAGAAATCTTTGCTTCTTTTATTCTGATTGGTCAATTAAACGCTACTTTATACCACAAACAAGTAGGATTTCCGAACTCATTCAAAACAGTCAGAATGTTCCGAGATGCGCGCTAGCAGTGTGTTATTGGACCAGGTTTTTCATGCACACACGGCCACAATAGCAATAAATACAGCGGTGTATCTAGAAAACGTGAGCACTGGTGAGCACATGAACATGAAAGTTTCTTTAGCAGGTTTTTAGTTTTTAGTCTGGCGGACAATATATATAAAGATAGGAGTTTCTTAAGTAAGTCAAAATATATTGTTATAATTTATATTTATATATAATGGAATTTATTATATAAAAGGAACTATAATATAAGAATAAAGTATAAGAAAACGTTAAAATTTTTTAAAATTTTTTTCATGTAATTAATAACCATACATCTTTCTGTTTCTATAGATACTTCATTGATATTGTATTTTGAATTCGTCGCACATGCACGAAAAATTCGGCCTGAACAACTGATGTTAATGCTCGCAAGATCTCAATGTGAAATGGACAACGTGATGTAGATATGTGTATGTTTTTATGTCTTTTATTTTAATTAATTTATCAAACAAAACGATTTGTTTAATGCCAAGAGCAGTATATTGAAGTATACCCAAAGCAATATGTGTATTTATTTGTTGGGTTTAGGTGTTTAAATGTATGAGGAGCTTGTGTAAATTATTATAAACATGAAGGACTTTCATAGCAAATTATGTATGTTATTATTAGAAGAATATTTTGGATCTATTGTACAAAGTATAAGAAATAGTTTGTTATATGGCACAAAAACATTAAATGTTATACGGATTGATACACGTCTACCATTAATGAAGGTACAGTAAACATTTGTGTAAGATACTAGATATTAACAAATTATTGCTACATAAAATATATTATCTTTTTATACCTATTATTAATATTTTGTATTTATCAAAAATTTCTCTTTTTGATATTATACATATCCTTTAAAAGTAATTTTATTACATTTAGGTAAAAGAAGGATTGTGTGTCCTTATAAAATATGGTTTTGTCACTTATCAACATGGTGATAAAGATGCTCAATATATCCTAAATACTGAGAAAATTATTACGCTTCTTCGTTATCCAAGGTATTTTTACTTATCAAATCAAATAAATTTTTATTTGCTTTATAAATATGATTTGTTTAATATTAGAAACATTACTTATCATTTATTTATTATAGATATATGCTATTCGCAAAAACTTACTGTGAAGATGAAGGTGAAATCATGTTAGAAGAAGTATTAAAACATGGATATATCACAGCATCTGAAGTCATAATAAAAACATATAAACGAATTGAGGAGACACCTTCTAAATGTACATATAATTTAAATACAGTAAACATGTGCAATATAATCATTGTTCATACATTTCTATTTACTTTAAAAATTATTTCTTGATTTTCTATCTTCATAATATAATAATTTTTATAAACAGGATCTATGTTGTGTTCACAATCTAAATATTTTCTTAGGTGCTGAACAACTTTCTATCTCAAATTTGAAAAACAAATTTGAGTTATTAGTGAAAAATCAATTTTTAATGCGTAGCATATCTTTCAATACAATGACAGAAAATACTGAAAAACCCAATTATAACTTACCACAACTTGATTTGAAAGCCATTTCTAACATGTTGCAAGGACAAAATGCCAATCCTGGAGATAATGGACTGTACTGGAAGGTCAATTTTGACCGATTTACACAAGATTTTAGGTAAGACTGCTAATTTAAGCCTGGATTATTATTAAAAATGTTAATATATAACTTATATATAATTTATATTAGGGATAAAATTGTTATATCAGCCATGACGGAAAGATTTGACATGAATGCTGGAGAATTAATGAGACAGTTAATCAATTTGATGTATTTGCGTACTGCACCTTGGGCAGCTACATCAAATCCAATACCATTTACTGAAATAAAAGAAGAAACGAAAAAATTGAATTATTCAGAGCTTGAACAGTATCTTGACCAATACCTGCGACTTATAGAAGAAGACAGTAGCCAATTTATTAAACGAGTTGGTGATTCTGGTGGAGGGCAATACAGTATTAATATGAAAAATGCATTTGAACAGTTGGTATGGACAACCATAGAAAGTATCGTAACAGAAAGATTTGGTTCCAAGGCTGCAAGAATTTTCAGGCAAGGATAAATATCTAATAAATCCAAAGTTTTATTTCATTACAAGGAAGAGCAAATACATAATCATATATTTTTATATAACTGCTCAATTTTTCTATGATTTTAGATTAGTGCGCATTGAAAAAAATGTTAACCTAGACCAAATTCAGCAATTAGCAATGATTCCAGCAAAAGAAGCTAAATGCATAACATATATTTTGGCACAAGAGAATTATATACAGATGCAAGAGATAAAAAAGATTGGAACTTTGACAGCACCAACAAAAGGACTTTTCCATTTTTACATTGATCTGACTAAAACTGTCCAAATGGAAATTGAGCATTGTTGTCAAGCATTATATAACATTATAAAAAGGCGAGAGAATGAACTAACCAATAATAAACGTATGATAGAAAAACAATTAAGAGTACAGATACTCTCTACTAACATGAAGGAACATGGTGCTACAGAACAACAACTGGCTGATGTAATATCAATATATATATATCATAGAGATAAAAATAGAGTTGCAAATTAATAATGACAAAATGTTTTTTCTTTATAGATTGCAGAAATGATGACGCCATCTGAAACTCAACAGCTTGAGAAAGCACAAAATGCGATCAAGAAACTGAATGTCACAGAGTTACAAATAGATGAAACCTTGTTTTTATTAACGATGTATCTTCGATATCATTAAATGAAAACTATTTTGCTGTTTTAATATTTTGTCTTTTTTTTCATAAGATATGCGTATATAAAAATGAGACTGTTGCATTTATTCATTTATATAGTTTATATTTATTTATATATAATAATGTGATTACGCTTGTAAAATACAAACAACAAAGAATACCTAGCTTTCAAATTATTATAATAAATATAATCATATATTTTTATATTTTTATAATAGTGTACTGCTCTCTATTGTGATACAGTGCGTTTGATGTTTCTATCTATGAGGAAAAGTCATCTTGGGTGACATTAACATAAATGATAATAATAATTTGCAATTTACCAACGTTTATTCGTATATTTTTTTACTTAAGCAATAATGATATACTTTTAAGAAATGAAATATGAAGGAAAGTTAGTTCTGTGACTCACAGCCAGCTTGTGGTACATTCATGATAATAGATTTCTATTTTAAAATCCTCAATCGCATTCAATAAAAATGTTCCCATACAAATATTCTCAGATGTGATATTTTGTTCGATAAGTGCAAGGTACTAGACAATTATACACGACTATGTGTTCCAAAGTATGACTTTTCCTTTGCTCTACTGTATGCTTTGTACGCTCATCTTAACACTGCCGCGATGAAGATAGACTTCCATTATGTATCAATAAATAAAATTTGAAGTAGTGATTTACCCACCATCCTAAATATTTATTTTGATTTTACGCTATTGATGCCGATAGTACACTACAATCACGACACACGAGTAGTGTTAAGATGATCGCGAGCATTTCATTCCACTCACACATGCATCTGACTTTTTATATCCTCTATCATTCTCTCTCTCTTTCTCTCTTACTCACTGTATCTCCCTTCCACCATATGCACTGGTATTGCATAACTATATACATTCTTCATACATACAAGTTTCATCTAGAAATAGTATACCTAAAACTAAGATTGAATTTCGGTAAAGCGTTATTTTATTATATTTTTTATACCATTAACAACAACGTACATATAAATGAAGTGAATGCTTGGAATATTGAGAGCGGGTGTTAATGTTCACTTTTTTTGTTTACGTTAAATATACTATAATATTAGTAGTGTGTAATTCGATTTACAATTTACTATTCTTACAGTTTGCATTCGCATTGGTTGCATATAAAGGCCAGTAAATATAATAATCGTGTATTGAGATTATTGCGTGTCATGATATCCGAAATTAAAAAGATCGCTACGAACTATAAATATGTTATAATTAACGCTGTTAATTTAAATGATCAGATAAATAAAAATCGCAATCGATGGAATGCAAAACCGATTTTTATTAAAGCAAAAATTGTGGACAATAAACCAATGAAATTTTGAAAAAAAATACGGGCCGAATTCTATTATACACGAGAGGTAGGTCACTAGTGGTTATAGTGTACAAAAATTACCCTTGATACGGATTACTTTTAAATTACCTCAGATTACTTAAGATTACCTTAGATTATCTCAGATTATCTGAGGCTACCTTAAGGGGCTTTATACATACATCTAGCGGTAGGAAAAATAGGGGGAAATCTGACAATTTTTTTATTAAAAAATCTGTAGCTACATCTTAAAGTAGATCTTTAATGTATATTTGGTAAAATTTTCATTAATAAATATTGAAAAATGTACCATGGAGATGTCATCTCCTGGAAGCTGTTCGACGATGCGGTAACCATTGTAGCTTCTCCAATTTTTATCTGAAATCAAAAACCAAAAAATTTTCTTAAAGTATGTAAAAAAAGGAAGTGTTTGTCGTAGTCGATTTTTAAAATTGTGGTTTTTCGAAAAATGGCGGCCATTTGAATGCAAAGATATAATTTTTAATCTGATACCTTCGCATTCAAATGGCCGCCATTTTTTGAAAAATCAAAATTTTAAAAATCGGCTACAATAATTTCCTTTTTTTTATATACTTTAAGAAAATTTTTTGGCTTTTGATTTCAGATAAAAATTAGAGGAGCTACAATGGTTACCGCTTCGTCGAACAGCTTCCAGGAGATGACGTTTCCACGGCACATTTTTTAATATTTATTA